AATTTGTTTCAACTGGCCGTTTTGTCCTTGGGGCGATCCAAGTCTCGGTTGATCATAACTAATCATGCCATACCGTCTTCCTGTAGGATACAGATAAGTGTCTGTATCCGGATTGTATAGTCTTCCGTTATTTTGTTCATACGAGCGGCCTTGCGAGCCTTGGAATCTCGGAATCCAATTCCCAGTTCTAGGCTGATATTGCCTCTGTCCTTGAAATCTATTATGCTGAGAGTTATTTCCAGAGTAGCCTCCGTTATTGAAGTACTGATTATTATTGTTTTGGTAGTTATTACCGTTCTCTGGATTTTGTTGAAATTGCCTCTGTTGGTACTGGTTCTTTTGGATGTAGAGTTGTTGAAATTCAGTGGGCAATTCTTCGAATTCAATGGGCAACTGTTCTTCTGATTCCAATCCCTGCTCTTGCACGTAAGCAACGTCCAAATTTTTGTTGAAACCAGTCCATTTGTTAGCATCAAATTTAGGTTTCATATTATTTCGAGCCTCAATTCTCAAGGCTTCTTTATAAGCATCGCTCAAACAAGTAGGGCATTTGACATCCACTAAGTCCCCTATTTCTTTAGGTAAATCGTTTACAAATATTTTTACTACGGCTGACTTCAATGGTGTCAACATAATCTCGTTAAATTGTGCTCCCAGTTCGTCTTTTAATGCGTGTTCTGCACAATTCAACAATATATTTATTCGGTCATGGAAATTTCCGACAGTGTCGCCCTGTTTCATTCTTAACGCATGTAATCTTGCATCATAATAAGCAAAATACTTACACGGTGCAAATCTTTCCTTTAAAGCTTTCGTTAATTCTTCCGCAGTATTAACGGTTTTGCCATACAAACAGTCCCTAGCCGGTCCCCTTAATTTTGCTATGACGGCCTTTACATAATTCGGTCTTTGGGCGACAGGTACTGTGGCAGATCCATTTTTTATATCTTGAATAAAATCTTTTAACGGAAGATTCTTTCCATCGAACTCCGGGATTCCTAACAAGGAGTTTTGTAAAGCAAAACTCGCTGATGCCGATTGCAGCATAATTAGAGTTGCTTGTTGCTGTTCTTGCGCCTGCTGTTGCGCTGCTGCTACCGCTGCAGGGTCCATTTTGTTTTGTTAAGTAACGCGAATGCGTCAGTCTTATTCCTAATTTCTACGCTAATCGCATAATATTATCCTCTTATTTTAATGTATTCAAAACGTTATCATAGGGATCGCTTACCGATTTAAGATACATATATAGTTAAACACATATATGTATATATATAATTTTAGGATATATATATGCTTAATTAGTTAAAACTTAATATTCCGAACGTGCGGCCTTATAGGTCGTTAACGTAACGTAATTTATTACGCGTTATTTAATATTACTACTTATTTCGGAGACGGTATAGTGAGTTTATTATAAAATTTTAAAATAATAAAATTAAATATTAAAAATTAAAGTATAATTAAATTAATCAATTAAATTAGAATAATTAAATTTTAATTAATTAAATCAATTAATAACTATCTTAATTAATTAAAATTAATTTAAATTAATTAAATTATTAAATATTAAATATAGTATAAATATATTATAATTATAATCATACACCCTATTTGGTAAATAATATTTTTTATTATATATTTTTTTGATATTAAATGTTAATAATTAATTAATTAGGAGCGCTAAAACAGCAAAAACAACCACGCTCTGCTACCATTTATTATGTGTGTTCTAATAGACACACACGTCGTTAGTGTCTTTCTAGCAAACGAGCGACGCTATAACTCGATGTGGTGTATTGCTGCATACATGACGCCCCGCTCACTTAACGCTCGCTAGTTAATTATTAAATATATTTTACGTATAAGTATATTTATGGGAAAAATCAAATAACTGGAATATATATATATATATATATATATATTGGGGTTCTCTATAAAGTTCGAATTAAAGCTTACTCAGGAATTTTAGCAGCTTGGAACCGAGCTTGTCGAAATATTGTGGACGTACTATTTATCCCGTACACGTGCATATCATGTTATCCGGGGACGTGCTTAATTTTTAAATACTTCGTCAGCGTAGGCTATAATGCTATGTAATTGGGAAGGTCGCGTTACACTGGCACGACCGGTATTTATGATAATAAATGGAAAGAGTCGCGAGAGCAAAATACCAAAGCCAAAATAATTAAAAATTTAACGAACGCATACACGTCTACATATATATATACAGGTTGATTCTGAAACATATGAAGAGTTTGGTACCATTCGATTCGTTTTGAAAAATGGAATAAGATGGCACAGTTAAAATTTTTTTTTGATAATTAGTCAATTAGATAATCGCGATTGAATGTCAGCCAATGAGCGGCTGGCTACGGCCGACGGGCCGCGTGACGGCGAGTCGCGACGGAGAAGGGAGGTCGACTCGCGCATGTTATTCAACAGGTGACAGAGGTGCTCAACTCTTGACCTGTTACTGCTAGGAGCCGTTATGTTGACGTATTTTGATATTATGAATATCAATAATAATATGGATAAAATTATTAAAAAATACGTTGCAATGTAATAATGCATTACATTGTTTTGTATCGTAAAAAAACATGAATTTTATGAAATCAATAAAAACATGTGTACTACATGCGCTTTTACGAAAATATTGCACATTGTGCAATTACTTGCATGTTTAATAAACGCATATTAAACTATACGAATAGTTACAATAGGCATTACTTACGTTGTAGCTACATACAGTACAATACGTGAAATACATTTTTCAAACAAACAATCAATCAATCAATCAATAAATTGATTAATTAATGGTCTGCATTAGTTGCAATAGGGTAATGGATTTAACGCTATTTATTTAATTATCTCAACTTAAGCATCGAATTTTCGATAGTTCAAGGATTTGAATATTTTGTAATATGCAAACTCTCAAACAGTCAAACATCAATAGTTCCAAACAAATGAATAGTAATGTTTTTTTTTTTGCTATTCATTTGTTCATTACTATTGATAGACTTAGTTGCAAAATTTTCTTGACACGGTGTACTCCATCGTTGCAAAATGGCAAGAAGAAATGCTTATTCCAACGAGGAGTACACCGATATGGTGTTGTGCTTGGGCTGGGCTGAGGGTAATGCGAATGCAGCTGCTCGACGGTACGCTGAGCTTTACCCTCTTAGAGCACAACACCCCAATCCTCGGACGATAGAAAATACCGTGAGGAGGTTGAGGGAAACGGGCAGTGTCGTGGTCAGCAATCCTGATGGAGGACGCCAACGCCAACGCGATCGCCTTCATGACCCTATCGTCGCAGCTTTCGCCGCCGATCCGACAGACAGCTTGCGATCTGTTTCGCGGCAAGTCTCGGCGGCGTTAGGTGTGGCGTGTTCGTACAGCACTGTACAACGGTTCATGAAGGATGATGGTCAACATGCGTATCATCTCCGGCGAGTGCAATCACTAGGTAAGTGCATAATTTGTTATTTATAGCGGTTATGTATTCGCATGTAACGACAGGAGGTCGATCCTGTAGTAACTTTGATATGCTGACGGACACAGTATTTATTTTTATGTTTTGATCAATTATATTTCGGTTTGTATTAAAGACAATGGACCGTTTAATCATTTATTAGAACCTGGAGATTCGCAACAGAGATTGAGGTACTGTCATTGGCTTGTGGACGCGGTTGACGAAGATCCTAACATCTTGGATCGCATTTTATGGACGGATGAATCCACTTTCGGGCGAATCGGAATGTTCAACCAACACAATGAACATGTGTGGGCCCACGAGAATCCATTTGCGGTGCGAGAAGGTATATTTTAAGAATAATATTGTATTTGCTTGCACAACAATAATATTTAACAATATTTTTCAACATAATTTAGATCGTTCGCAGCATAGATATGCCGTAAATGTATGCCCTATCTAAAAAATCCAGCTGGAAATCCATGATGAATTTCTATATGGATATCCAGCTGGATGTCCAGCTGGATTTATATGGATTCCATATGGATTCCACATGGATATTCATCATGGATATCCACCTGGATTCCAGTTGGATATCCAGGTGGATTTCTCGGCGAATCCAGGTGGATTTCTCGGCGAATCCAGGTGGATTTCTCGGCGAATCCAGGTGGATTTCTCGGCGAATCCAGGTGGATTTCTCGGCGAATCCAGGTGGATTTCTCGACGAATCCAGGTGGATTTCTCGACGAATCCTTTTTCATCAGAAATCCAGGTGGATTTTTAAGCTAACCCCGGTGAATTTCTTGGATAATCCAGGTGCATATTGTATCGAGTTCAGGGAAAATCCAGGCGGATATATGACTACCCTAGACGAATTGTTTGATTAATCTATATAGATTTCACAATCATTCAGGTGTATCGTATGGTCGATAACCTGGATTATTTGCTTTGATATTCAGGTTGGGGTCTCTTTGAAATTAAGCGTCTCAAATAATATTTGTTGAGTTTTCCGAAATGTTAGATACATACTTTTAGATTATAAATTATTTGTAACTGATATTCTACCAAATTAAGTTAAATGTTCATGAGGATTTTAATGTAGATCCTTTCGTAAATCCACATAGTTTGTATGGAATTGAATATAATATAAAAATGAATGTTGAAGTCCACTATTAGAGAAAATTCTTTTGTCTATCTTGATCATTGAATGGATAATCATAATGCGATATGAAAAAGGGACATGATATCTTAGAGAAAATGTAACTTTGTAGAGTAATAAATATAACTATCATTCGCATGAAATCATAAAGGAAATGGTTCAATACTTACTTTATATTTAAGTGTGTGTGTGTGTAATATTCGGAAGTCAATATTATTTTAATTATAATTATTATTAAAGAAATTTATGATAGTGAAACCACAAGTTTGTAAAGCAATAAATAATTATGATGTGTACGAAATTATAAAAGGATTGGTTCAATATTACTTAATAATATAATATATATTAATTAATGTATTATAACATTTTTTAATTCCAATACATATTACAAACGCTAGAAATGTAATCGTTGCTATCAAACTTTAAGTACACACAAGTTTTATCAATATTTTCTGTAAATGTCATTTCGATGTTTTGATTTATTCCTATAACTTGCTTCGTACAGTGTAACTCATTACTGATTACATCATCACCGATCACTTCAATCTTTTTGTATGTCACATACTCTTGTCCATTTTCCATGTTTACAAGAAATTGTTGAATCTCTATATAATCCCCATTTTTTAAAGACGCAAAGGAATTGTCTGATCTGTATAACACTTTTTCAGATGATTTAAATGGACATCCGTTCTTTACCATTTTTTTATAAGCTCTTACTTTCTCTACAGGAAGTTGTAATTGCCTAACAATATCTTCATTGACTTTGGTTCGTCCAAAATATCTGTATGCAAATTTTACACTGTTCTGAGTAACATTATTATCTAAATACCTTACATATTCTAAACAAGGTGACTTTTTTTTCTTTTCTATGTGTTTTCGTATTTTTCTGATACTTTCGTCGAAAGATAAATATCGACACACTTGGCTCAAGACACCGTTAGCTGCATAAATAGTTTTTTTTATTCTTCCATTTCCTGATTCAAATACATATCCGCTATGTGCGTATAAGGGACCCCAGTCTGCAACACTCTGTGCTAAGTGCAATAATTGATGTACGTTGTACGTCATTGCATCAACAGTGTACAGCTTCTCTGTAGTATAAACGAAATCTTTCAAAAGCAAATCTGCTCTTTGTAATTCCATTACAGTTATTTTAGTTTGCAATAGTATATAATAGGCTTCTACTAACAATGACCAGTGATTCATATACTCCTCAAACGCTGGAATTTCTTCAGATATATATTTTAATACTGGTACGCTGTAATATAGAATCCAATTACGCCACTCTATTGCTTTCCAGTAAGCTCGATCACGTAACGAACGTGACAATCGAGTTAATTGTGTAGGCACTTTGATATTATTCAATAGTTGATCAATGTCTTTTATTTTATTTTTAGGAATTGAATAAGGTTTATTTGAAGAATTTAACCAATAATTAGTAAATTGATTGCCGAGGCCTCGATCAACACAGTGCAATGAACATGGAACGAATCCGTCAATTATATTGAAAGGATATAAAAGCAGCAAGGGACTAACATTCTTTACACCAAACTGGGGAGTATTTGATTCAACCGATCTCTGCATTAATATAAATGTAGCATCTGCCGTTCGTCTTTCAGGAAATTCATCTAGTATAGGATATTTCATAGAATAACCAGTATCATGACGAATCAACGAACCGGGATGCAAGCACCAATTACATCCGTAATAACCGTTAAACTGAACCAAACCTTGCATCGGTGCTCGTGCGACGGAATCCACACAACAGCACAATGCATATACATATAACTTTCTTGTTTCATTATGCAGTTGCACTTCAAATCCATTTTCTGAAAGTTTATTCATTTGGTCAGTAAAAGCACGTAGAAAATAGGTCATATTGGGTTTATTACGCCCGAACCACAATGCACATGTTATTGTTTGCGTGGCACGAAAATTTTGGGGAGTTTCATTTACAACTATTTGTATAGGCCATATTGAATATTTTGAACTTTTAAATACTGGGCTTCCGTCGCTATTGAAAGTTACAGTAACGTAAGATTCTTTCCGATCAACCGGCAATGATTCCACAAACTCATTATATTTCTGGCCATCATATATATCTTTATACATACCATAATTGAATTCCTTGTTTCGTCGGGAAACAATTTCGCTATAAAAGTCCTTATTACTTTCGATATGACATCGTAGTTCACTTTCTACATCAAGAAGAACGAAATAGTTACTGTACGAAGGATCTTTCAAGTTAATGTATTTATCACATGCCTCACAAAATATTGTTCGCTGTTGTTTAGTAAACGTTCCGAGATAGACCTGACATAGAGAACAAATAGCGTGATACTCCTTACAGCCTTTTGGACTGAAGATACTATGAATTTGATAATAATTGTCAGGAAAAATATCCTTATTTAAAAACATATTTAGCATTTTGAACAAATCAATTATTCCCTTTGTTGGTACATGATATTGGGTGCAAAATGTCATTACAGCTAACATAATTTCTATTTTACTAATGTTTACATGTGAATTAATACAGTCGTTACTATCTTTATCATTAATAATTTCATCTAATTTTATTTTTTTTCTCTTAGCGGGCTCGTTTATATCAACTGTTATATTAATAAAATCTTCTTCGTCACTGCTTTCATCAAAATAATCTCCATGTTCGTGTGAAATCCGACCAATTTCCTACATTAAACAAATTATTCTACATTAGTTTTCTAAGCAAGCGATATTTGCATGGTTCATACAAAATTTATTTATATTTTCACTTTCTAAATATATAAAACGATCAGATCTTATCCAAAAATATGTAGAAAATGTTCAAAAGTATGTAGAAAATTCTACAGCGAAATATGCAGAGAAACTTGCTGATACATTCTAAATATTGATTAGTAAAAAGTCTATGAAGCCGAGTTTTGCATAACAGTTTTTCCTTTATTAAAAGGTACGAAGAGGTGGGGGCGGGTCGAATTTGATTTTTCTACAAGTTTATTTGCGCAGTTTTATGCAGAAAATCCATGAACCTTTAGCAGACAACGTATCTGCATGTTTCGCTGCACAATTTTCTGTATACTTTTGTTCCAATTTTTTCTATAAGAGAAGTATAGGATTTTATTTTTGTGGCTAATTGAAATCGTTTTGTAATTTTTTTTAAAAGTAATATAAATATGAGCAATTCCACAGAAATAGGACTATTCCACTATTTTTCTCGTTTATCAATTTTGACGTTTCGAGTGAGATTTTGTCCGCATCACTCATTTTTTAATGAAGCAAGATATATTTAGCGTAAATTAGCAGAAGTTTGTTAGAAAAATAAAAAAAAAACAACAAATCTGTAACAAATTTTTGTTTCTAAGTGTATAAATAAATGTTTTCAATCATATTAGGAACAATTACGAATTTATGTAGCAAATAATTCAATAAAACATCATATAGGAATCTAATTTTGTTTAACTATCATCACCTTTCTAACAAAATTCACATGAATAATACAGTAATTTCTCAAATGAATTCATTAACTCGATATGGAATGCATGTGGATTTTCCATGTAAAATCGTAAATTTCATGTGGATTTTATACGTTGATTTATCAATTCCATTTTTATCAGGCATGGAAAAATTGATATGAAAACATGATGGGCGAATCTATACAGGTTTTTGTCGTATGGAAAATCCACTTAAAATTTTCTTTCGCATGCATTTTTTCATTACGGCACAAGACCACATGTGAAACAAAATATAAGTCAGTTATAATTAAAAGAATTTCATATAAAATTCATATATATTCCACATGGATTCTATCTGTTAATCAATTTATAAATGGAAATTAAATCATTATAAACTTCCATTCGACATGTACATCATATATATATATATATATATATATATATATATATATATATATATATATATATATATATATATATATATATATATATATATATAGCATATACATTGTACCCTAGTTATTATAGTTTCTGCGAATAGAATGTTATTGTAACGAGCGAGAAAAAACAGTAAATTAATATATCTGTGGCAGAAAACATACATAAATAAATATTCAATAATATTGCGATTTTTTTTTAATTCACGCTCATAACTTTATTATCTTCAAATAAGAAATCTACCTATACCTTTATTTTTATTGTTCAATTTTTGTAAATATCAATCCTAGTGAAAAGTGTGAAAAATAAGCAGATGATTACCATATTTTCTGAAACTGATTCAGTGTCATCAATATAGATGTCATTCACTTGACCTGGAATAAGTAACAAATAGATTATTATCAATTAAAAAAGTAGACTTACAATATCAGTACATTATATTATTACCTTCTGAATTTAATTTAACATTCTGATTACAATTTGATGTTGTATTTGACAGTGCAGCTGGGTTACTAGATCTAGTTAAGCTATTTGAAATACACCTTTGCATGTAATTATCTTGTGCTGAAAATTAGTAATATTTTAATAGAAATTTCATAGTTTTAGGTCAAGTTATCGTGGTTAAATTTCAAGTACAAAAGAAAACAATTGATCTAACATAAAAACAAAGTCACTGGTATATAAAATGTCAATACTACAAGAATAGCATCAGTGCAAGTACAAAAGTATACAGTAAAAACATGTGTATAAAACATAATATTAATTGTGATAAAATATAAATTAATACTGATAAACAAATAATTAAGTATATGGTTATAATTTTCTTACCATTATCTGAAGAGTTATATACTGATTGCAGTTCTGCATGATCAGAAAAAGAGGTATGTAATCTCCTGATAAAACTGTCGGTATCACTGATTGAACTCGATAAATTAATATTCGATTCGGTTGCAATTGAACTTTCAAACACTATGTCGTTATCGTTGCTATCACTACTAAGACTTCCCATTTTGTAAAATTGTAAATAGTTTGTAATACGTATGCTATAGCAAGTTAATTACTTTTTGTTGTAATTTACTCTCTTCTAATAAAATAAAGCAGAATGGTCTAATAAAATATTTAATAATTAAAGTGAATCAACGATTATGAGTGACCGTGAAACGGAATACCAAGTGATACTGCCTCGAAACTCAGTGAAGGTGAAGCAAATCGAAAAATATTTATGAAAAATTATTATAAATGATAGCTGAAACAGTTGTTCTTCCAGTGCTGACTGTAAAAATTATATTTTTTAGTTGTTACAATCCACAGGCAATTGAAAAAAAAACATTTCAAATGCACTACGCCTCTCTTGTGGCATTTGTTAATTAGAGAGCGAGACAAACAAAGAGGTACAATTCTCCCTCCAGAATTTTCTAGCAGAACGGTGAGACAAAGCAAGAGGCACAAATAGTTTTAAGATTTTACCGCGAGACAAAGGAAAAGTTCTCCTTCTTAATTTTTATTTTACACGGACACGGATTTAGATTTATATAGTTATTATTATTAATTATTATTATGATGGAGTCTGAGTACTACGCTAAAATCAAATATATTGAAGATAACGTTAAAGATATCATACCAGTAAAAAATATAGTGGAATTTCAAGAAAATCCTAATGATGCCATTATTCAATTTGACAAAAATGCCATTTATACGGTCCAGTGGATTGATCACACTAACAATTCTAAGCCATTAGCTATTCAAATTTGTAGTATTGAAAGTGAGTAAAAAAATATATATATATTTGTATATGTATGTAAATATATATGTAGTATTGAAAGTAGTAAAAAACATATATGTATACATCTAGAAATATATCTAAACTAAATATTCAAAAAAATATATTTTCATCGAATGACTTAATTGACAAAATTTATTGATTCAAGCTAACCGAATACTGAAATTTGCAAAAAAAAGTGTTCGATGAATCCTAATGTTGGATGTTGGATCCAAGAGTTGGATGTAGTATTATATATACCTTAAACATAATATTATTTTAAATTGAATTTGTTCAAAATCTGATTTATCTCAATACTGTATTCTCCATTATCACAGGAAAATTCAAGCTTTGATCCCATAATTTTTGTTTTGAAATTCTTTGGATGCATATCAAGTTCATTAATGCTTAAATAGAAGTATATTGTGACAAGATAATTAAAAAGAGTTAAAAATGAAACAGAAGAATCCAACATATATATGCAGTCATTTTTCAAATTTTTTCAATTTCTAATTAATAATTATTTTCAAATGTCTGCAAAATTCTTGGGATGTACGTATGATTATCTTGTTTCATTTTTCTTTTTATTTATTCCAACGAGCCTTATGTCACATTTGTAAGCATTATTATCATATGAACTTCATCATCATTTATTTATCAAAAATATTATCATAAGCATATCAATTAAGTTTGTTTTCAAATCTTTTTGATGCATATGAAGTTGACACGTTATGAAAATTTGATACAAAAAGATTTTCTCTAACAGTTAAATTATTAATTACAAGATAATTAAAAACTGTTAAAAGTGAAACAAATAGAGTTTCATACTTAATAACTAAACAGTTAATTGTTTTGTGTTCTAGTATTTAAATATATTTTTGCTTTTGTTTAACTTAATTCAATTTAAAACATGATTAAAATTTTGTTATCTATTCACATAAATACCTAGTCTCATTTACTTAAGTACTTGCACACTAGTTTAGTTTCAAACAATACAAATGAATTTGTGAATACGTTTTTGTTACTAATTTATACCATCTAGTCATTTACTCTTTTATTTAAAAACAAATATATAATCAAACTGTTATCCTATTGTTTTATTCACATTATTGCTTTTCATATTTGTCTGCATTTCGTAATTTATATTCTTCTGAATTTATAATCTTGTTATGTTTATAACTGTTCGATTGTTGAATGTTCAATTTTGGTATAATAAAATTTAACTTATATTTTTACTTGCCCATTGTCCAGTCCTATTTATTATTATATTATTATATTTTTTAGATTATATAAATATACTTTCATAAACTTGACCATCGTCGTAAGAATTTTGCAGACAATCCAAAATTATTATTAATTAGAAATCTTTATACAGCTCAATTACAAAATAAAAATAATAATAATTTTAATAAAGGTGGACACATCAAGTGTCATTTTTATTTGTTTATAATTAACTTGTTATTAATAATTTAACTGTTACTACTGTGTTCAATATATATATATATATATATATATATATATATACAATTATGAATACAATTTACCTCCAGTGAATCAAAATTGAGGTACTGTGGTTGGTGAAATAAAAAAAATTATTTTTGTGCCAGTTATAATATTTTGCACACCAATCGAATAAATAATATATTAACAAAGTTTTCAATTATCTTACTACATAAAGTTAAATCTCCCCCCTCCATAAGACATCTTTCAAGAAAGGTAAAAAACAACAGGAGAGTAGGTATTTATAATTATGTGTTTTGAATTTATTAATTCAAATTAATTAATTCAAATTAACAAGTAATTGTCATTGAATTTCTTAAAAACTATGAGGTTTAGGAGAAAGTTGTATGAAACAAAAATGTCTTAGAATTTGTCCAGAAATAGTCTTAAATTTTTTCAGATTTTTTGGAGAAAATTTTTGATTTTTCAAAAAACCACAAAATTGAAATTTCCAAAAAAATTTTCAAAAAAATCTGAAAAAATTTGGTAGCGCTCTTTGGCTTATTTTGAGACTTTTTTATTCTCATAAAATTTTCACCACAGTCTATAGTTTCCAAGAAAAAAAATAATCAAACATTGTGCAGATTTTTTGTTCAATTTCTTTTCTCGGAAACTATAGACTGTGGGGAAAATTTTATAAGAACAAAAAAGTCTCAAAATAAGCCAAAGAGCGCTACCAAATTTTTTCGAAAAATTTTTTGGAAAATTCGATTTTGTGGTTTTTTGAAAAATCAAAAATTTTCTCCAAAAAATCGGAAAAAATTGAAAAGTATTTCTGGACAAATTCTAAGACATTTTTGTTCTATACAACTTTTTCTTAAACCTCATAGTTTTTGAGAAAAAAAATGGTAACGAAAAACGCATTTTTTTTTCAGATTTTTTGCATTTTATCAGCTATTATAGAAAAAAAAGCTTAAGTACAAAAATTTTCTGTTAAAGTTCAACAATTCCGTGCACTCGTGGTTGAAGAGCGGTTCCAATATAGACGTTTTTTATGCAAGAAAAAAATTCACTAGTTTTCTTGTAAAAAATCCGCCATATTTAATTTCGTACGCAAAATCTTTAAATTTTCAGTCCGGATTCGAATTCGGCATACTCAGAAACGTAAGGACGGTACCCTAGATCAATTTATTGTTTCGTTTTACAAATGAATTTTGCGATCAAAAACATGCCCAAAAAATGAGGTCTTTGGTCGTTAATGTGTTAACCTGGAAGAAGCTCATTTATCCGTGGTATACATATTAAACTTTGAGAAAATATCATTTGAAGATTGATTTTTTTCTTGTTGCTTTTAAAATGACGCCAGTGATGTAAATCGTTTTTACAAAGTTTACACGAATTCTTTTAACAACTATAAGAACATTTTATCCCTAGCTATTTTTCTGTAAAGTTCATTGTTTCCGAGGAAAAAATTACAAAAGTACCAATGTCATTTCCAATGGAATTTCAATGTATTTTCCAATGTATTTCTGCCAATCCAGCTAGATTTCTCGGCCAATGTAGGTGGATTTTTGTGCCAATCCAGGTGGATTTCTCGGCAAATCCAGGTGGCAAGTGTTTGGCTCTCGTTGCGGTGCTTCGTTGATGTTGTTCACCTGAGTCAGCCACGGGAGACGCACTAACGAGGCTAAGGCACGTGCTACTCTTAGCTAGGGCCCGTGACTACTGGTGTCGGGTATAATTCTCGGGCGTGTGCGCTGTATTATCTTGCGTACACGGGTTTTGGTGCGAGGGTTAAGGTATCTCTATCGACCGTAACATTTTTGTTGAACAATTTAGTTATAATCAATCGTCTTACGATAATAATTAAAATTGTATTACGTTTGTAACGATTTCCAGTTATTACTGTTTTGATACAAATATTTATGAGCAACTGGGCTGGATCTGTGCATCTGCATACTGCCGTCGTTTGACTCGAAGCGTTTTGTAAAAAGGCATTCAATCCCCGAACGGTAGATAAAGAGCTAATTTGTTCTAAAATTGGCGCGTTATAGTAGTAGTCGAAATTAATTTATATGAACTTTTTTGTCATTTGTTGCTTTCTGAAAATTAATTTGTCAACAGTTTATGAAACCTACTCGTATAGCAGTTGTACCTTTCTTGAAAAGTGCGCTTACGCGGGTGAGGGGGTTAATAAATCATCAATTAAAATTGAAGAGAGGTGAAAAAAAATAATTACTTCATCTCTGAAAATTTTTTTAGAACTAAATTAATAGTAATCTAATAAATAATCATTTTTATTTAACCGAAACGCAAACGTATCTATACCATCCACATGCATCGATTACCACTTATAATAATATAATAATGTAGTCTATTTAATCCAGACAATAATTTCATTGGAGATTTTTATGATGTGACTTAATTGAATATATTTATAATGAATTGTTTTTAGTGATTCACACTGAAGAAGAACTTCAGAAATTTTGTAAAAAAAGAGGAGTATTTCCTCATCTACATGATTCTGTCATCGAACGCTATTACGAATCGGAAAGCAGTGAAGATGAGATCAATGTCCAAGCGAAAAAGTCTCAGCCAATAAAAAAAATTAGTAAGAGGACAATTAAGGAAAAGCCATTGGTGAGTCCTTCATTTACTATTAGAAACTAAAAAATTCTTAGCCTGTGGGTTCTAAAATAAAAATTTGCATACATAAACTTTGTAGAAAATTGATATTGGTGCACAAAGAGAAGTTATTGAGGCGAAGAAAAAATTCCTTCAATCTCAAACATTGGTTTTGAAACAGCCCCATGCGATCCATGATTCACAGTTGGATACGAGTAACAGTGAGAAAAATGACTCGCGTAAATCCGTAAACATGTCTGACCCGATAAAAAATGAAGAAAGTCGCTCAGCTGTCTATTTAAGAAAATTAGAAGAAGAATGTGAACAATTAAAAACTGAAAATTTAAGGCTGAGAAGCAATAACGCCGTTTTAAATGAGAGAATAGAAACCTATCGTATCCTCAATGAAAGATTACAAATAAATATTTTGAAGTACGATAAAGAATTCGAAGAGTTAGCTAAAATAGATGAGGAGAAGAAAAAATTGGATGCTATGGTAAGTACAAGATTTATATATATTTTTTCAGACTAACTAAAATGGGGAGACACAAACCTTAACCTTCATAGGGTACCCCTATATAGATCGCGAAAAATGGTAAACTGCTGTTTATTACGTATTGTTGAATAAACCCAGGTAAAAATCCATTTGAATTTTACATGAATTTCTATGTTGATTTCCATATAAATCCCCATTGAATCATTTAGATTGCATATGTAATTATATATTAAAATCTTATTCGTTTAGAAAATTCTATATCTTGAAATCATCAAAATCCATATGGAAAAAACATCTGGATTCAACTAGATTCACGTATATTTTCAAAAATCTATGTTTTAAAAAAAGTTATTTATGAAAAAGTGACTATTGTTTTTAGCTTGCTTGTACTAAAAAAATTTTAAATATATTGAAGCGAAAAACTTTGGGGGTATTTCTTAAATAATAAACATTCTTAAGGTCTTCATCAGAATTCGATATCTTATTTCGTTTATCCGGGAAAAATTATAAACTGAAAATTTGAAAAGTGTGGAACGTTTGGATGATATTCTTGATTATAAGACATATACTTCTTTGTACAAGTTTATTTTTTAAATAGTTGTTTTGACTTTCACTGTAGTCTTTGGAACACCCTTAGTGGTAATGATAAAATTAATAATAATGAAAGTAGTAATATTAATAATAAAATTAATATAAATAACATGAATTGTTTTTCAAGAGCCCATTGGCAAAGAGGTTGCAATGTTCCACCCCGCAGCACACGATTAATAATAGTAACCCAGAAGTGTCTCCAATAGTTAGTCATAAGGAAGATCCCAAAGAAGATATAAATAACTCGCTTGAAAACAGATCTTTCGAACGAACATCTCAAGCACAAAGTCCTTTCGATGATAGATCGCTCAATAATAGTAACAACATCGAAATTGATGACATTTCTCTTGAGGAATTGAAAAAGAAAATGCATCCCTCGAGCAAAAGTAATAATAACATACATTTCGAAAGTTATATTATTACTAGGTAGACATATGTGAATTAAAAATTCCTAACAAGTAAAATTTATTCTATTTTATTGCCTACGTTTCAAGCACATAGTTTATGCTCCGGTTCAAGGTAAGAACAAACATAAATATTACAATAAAATTTTTAAAGACGTTTTCTTTTTATACATATATTATTATCATCACTATGAATTTCCGCTTTCGGTCTTGCAAATTGACCTTGTTAAGATTTTTTGTTACTACGCCTTTTAAATTCTTAATATAATATTTATGTTTGTCCTTCCCTTGAACTGGAGCATAAACCATGTGCTCGAAATGTAGGCAATAAAATAGAATACATTTTACTCGCAGGGAATTTTTAATTCACATATGTCTACCTTGTAATTTGTGGATTGAACGAGTTTTAAATATGCAATACTAATGAAATTAATTCATTACTATATTTTCAATAAACATTTTTAGAGAAGTTAGATTTCCATTCTCAATTATCGCCGACGGTCCCATCAAAAAAACCTCGTTTTTATGATGAAGAAACTGAGGACTCAGGAATAGTTGACATTGCAAGCTCGAGCAATGTTCGTAAAACGAAACTGTCATCTCAAGAATTTCGGAAACTATCGGCTGGTCTCTTCAAGACAAAACATAAAGATAGTACAAACACTAATGGTAGTATAGACGATTCAGTTAACGACGAATCATCGTATTTTTGTAATTTTGGACACAAAGAGACTGGAACTAATTCAGATGATGTGACTGTGAGTGTAGCATTTTCATCATACCGCTTATTATTCATATGTTGTTGGAAATAATTATTGAATTATATATTTTTCATTTCAGACTACGCACGTATGGCTCAATAAAGAAAAAAAAATATTACTTGATGAATGGAAGAATGGCTTTAAATCGAAAGACCCAAGTAAATATGTTAAATATATGTTGCGCTTATTACATACGGACGAAAATGGTGGTTATGAGGAAAACCTTAGTAAAAAATGCGTTTCCAGTGACAAACCATCATATACGCCAAGAGGCATGAATCGAAGAGTTCCACTCACTTTGAATGAGCATTTAACCCTTGAAAGTACGTAATAATTTTTAGTTAACTTGCGAATTATGAAATGTTGTTGTCTAATTAATCACTATTTCATTGCAGAGTGTTTGAAAACTTATCTTAATAAAACATCAAAATTAACTTCGGAAGAAGCAAATAAGATTATAGCAAAAAAAAATGCCTTTATAACGGAAGAAATCAACACATGTGTAAAAAACCAGAAGAAAAAATTAAATATTTAATTAGAGTATAAAATATCTTTATAATGGCTTAATGGAAATGAAACATTGAGATTATATTTATTTTACTGTTAGTTTCTATTTATAATTTAATTAATATATAAAAAATAAATTATGTTTAGTTTTCATGTGTAAAAATCCAGAAGAAAAAATTAAATATTTAATTAGAGTATAAAATATCTTGATAATGGCTTAATGGAAATGAAACATTCCGATTATATTTATTTTACTATTAGTTTCTATTTATAATTCAATCAATATATAAAAAATGAATTATGTTTAGTTTTCATGTATCTAAAACGACTTCATTCTGTGATGAATAAAAATTTATATGATTTCCATGACATAATCAACCTGAATTTGATATAAAAAATCCACCTGAATTCACCCAGAATTCCGCCTGGGTTTCCATTGAAATCCTTTTCAATACGTCATAAAGTCCACCTTAATTCTATAAAAAATACACCTAGATTGGCCGATTATCCACCAAATTGTCCGTGACATTATTTGAACCAACCAGGATTTTCCGTAAACTCCACCTGGACTGATTCAGAAATCTACCTGGATTAACTCAAAAATCCATGTGGATTTACCAAAAAATCCACATGGATATATTCAGAAATGCACAAGCATTCGCCAGAAATCCATCTGAATTGCCGAAGAATCCATCTAGATTTGACTGAAAATCCATCTGGATTTAACTAAAAATCCATCTGGATTTACCGAGTAATCCGGCTGGATTTGTCGAGTGAGCCATCTGGATTTGACTAAAAATCCACCTGGATTTGCCGAGAAATCCACCTGGATTTGCCGAGAAATCCACCTGGATTTGCTAAGAAATCTACCTGGATTTGCTAAGAAATCCATCTGGATTCGATGAGAAATCCACCTGGATTTGCCAAGAAATTCACCTGGATATCCACCTAGATTCCAGCTGGATATCCATGATGAATATCCATGTGGAATCCATATGGAATCCATATGAATCCAGCTGGATATACAGATGGAAATTCATCATGGATTTCCAGCTGGATTTTTTAGATAGGGTGGGCTGGTGTGATTCGTGACCGAATTGTGGGTCCATTCCGTCTACCGCGAAACCTCAATGCTGGTGCGTACCTCGATTTTCTGCAACATGATCTGCCAGCTCTTCTAGATGACGTCCTCTCAGATCAAAATAACATCATCCTGATGCACGACGGAGCCCCAGCCCACTTTGCGCAGCCTGTCTGGGACCATCTCGACGAGGTAATTGATTACTGTTTGTTTTTTATTAATTTATAAAAAAAAGTATACTGATTTCTATGTTTTTCCAGTCTTACTCTGAGTGAATAGGCCGTGGTGGTACCGTAGAATGGCCAGCACGTTCCCCAGATCATAATCCATTGGATTATTATGTTTGGGGAACGTGCAAAGAGGCCATCTACTCTAACGGTCCACCTGGCAACGCAGATGGATGCTGGCAGGCTGTTCAAGAGTGGGCAGAAAATATGGCCCCCGATCAAATACATAGAGCGACGCTCCAAGTTTTACGAAGAGCTCGCCTATGTATACAAATGGATGGGGGCCACTTTGAACAATGCATGAAGGCAGGGGGGGATCCTGGTGATGGAGTAGGCGACGAGGAGCTTGAGAGGGATCCAGAAGATGATAACGATCCAGACTGGGAGATGGACGAATAGAAAGAGGTAAGTCGTAGAAAAGTCGTAAACAAAGTTGTTGGGTTATTGGGTTATTGGGTTCATAGAAAAGTCGTAAAAAAGTCGTAAAAAAGTCGTAGAAAAGTCGTAGAAAAGTCGTAGAAAAGTCGTAGAAAAGTCGTAGAAAAGTCGTAGAAAAGTCGTAGAAAAGTCGTAGAAAAGTCGTAGAAAAGTCGTAGAAAAGTCGTAAAAAAGTCGTAAAAAAGTCGTAAAAAAGTCGTAAAAAAGTCGTAAAAAAGTCGTAAAAAAGTCGTAAAAAAGTCGTAAAAAAGTCGTAGAAAAGTCGTAGAAAAGTCGTAAAAAAGTCGTAAAAAAGTCGTAAAAAAGTCGTAGAAAAGTCGTAAAAAAGTCGTAAAAAAGTCGTAAAAAAGTCGTAAAAAAGTCGTAAAAAAGTCGTAAAAAAGTCGTAAAAAAGTCGTAGAAAAGTCGTAGAAAAGTCGTAGAAAAGTCGTAGAAAAGTCGTAAAAAAGTCGTAAAAAAGTCGTAAAAAAGTCGTAAAAAAGTCGTAAAAAAGTCGTAAAAAATTCGTAAAAAAGTCGTAGAAAAGTCGTAGAAAAGTCGTAAAAAAGTCGTAGAAAAGTCGTAAAAAAGTCGTAAAAAAGTCGTAAAAAAGTCGTAAAAAAGTCGTAAAAAAGTCGTAAAAAAGTCGTAAAAAAGTCGTAAAAAAGTCGTAAAAAAGTCGTAAAAAAGTCGTAAAAAAGTCGTAAAAAAGTCGTAGAAAAGTCGTAAAAAAGTCGTAGAAAAGTCGTAGAAAAGTCGTAGAAAAGTCGTAAAAAAGTCGTAAAAAAGTCGTAGAAAAGTCGTAGAAAAGTCGTAGAAAAGTCGTAGAAAAGTCGTAGAAAAGTCGTAGAAAAGTCGTAAAAAAGTCGTAAAAAAGTCGTAAAAAAAGTCGTGCCCAAAAAATGAGGTCTTTGGTCGATAATGTGTTAACCTGGAAGAAGCTCATTTATCCGTGGTATACATATTGAACTTTGAGAAAATATCATTTGAAGATTGATTTTTTTCTTGTTGCTTTTAAAATGACGCCAGTGATGGAAATCGTTTTTACAAAGTTTACACGAATTCTTTTAACAACTATAAGAACATTTTATTTCTAGCTATTTTTCTGTAAAGTTCATTGTTTCCGAGGAAAAAATTACAAAAGTACCAAACCAGGGGGGGATCCTGGTGATGGAGTAGGCGACGAGGAGCTTGAGAGGGATCCAGAAGATGATAACGATCCAGACTGGGAGATGGACGAATAGAAAGAGGTAAGTCGTAGAAAAGTCGTAAACAAAGTTGTTGGGTTATTGGGTTATTGGGTTCATAGAAAAGTCGTAGAAAAGTCGTAAAAAAGTCGTAAAAAAGTCGTAAAAAAGTCGTAAAAAAGTCGTAAAAAAAGTCGTAGAAAAGTCGTAAAAAAGTCGTAAACAAAGTTGTTGGGTTATTGTGTTTATTGGGTTCGTAGAAAAGTCGTAAGCAAAGTTGTTGGGTTATTAGGTTAAAGAAAAAAGTAAAAAAAATATAATATTTTCTATTTATTTGCAGTGTTTGGCGGAATTGCGGTCCTGGCTGGAGATTTCGTTAAACTTTTTGTTATTGTTGTTAATTTTTTTTTTTTCATTATTTATTATTAATTTATCTTATTATTATGTTATTGTTATTATTATTTAAGTTATTGTGTTAAAAAATGTTATTGTTCAGAAATTGTTTATTATTAATAAGTTTTACAAATAAAAATTAATTTAAAAAATGTAAAATTATTTTTTAATTCGACGCGCGTTGTCGTGATTAGCTCTGGCACGAAACTGCCTTTGTCAGCGTAGGCGATACAGTCATCCCGCGCGAGAGTGTTACTACGCCGTCACCGCATTACTACGCGGCCGCCGAACCGCCCACGCGTGCTTAACGTGTACAATTAATACGCGCGGCGCAATTATACATAATACTAATACATATAAGTTTTACATTACATATATCAAGATTAAGTGAATTTTAAAAGTGGTCACTTAACAATCTACATACGAATATAAATATATATGTATAGATCTATAAATGATGATTAGACCTCGTGTTATTCTCGTGTTTATTTTTAAGAGATATTTCCCGCCATTTTGGTACTATTAAAATAAAATGTATAAAAAATATTTTTATTTGTCATAAATTATGTTTGAGCTACAGATATATTTTATAAAAAAAATGGGATACCTCACGTACGGTGTAGAAATCAATTATTTTAAGAAAAAGCAACTGATAAACTCAATTTTCCCAAAGTTAGGTCTATTAGCCTACATTTGGTTGGGTAAGGGTGGTTTATGGGAGTTTGGTGGGTTAGTGGCAGGTTGGTTAGTTGAGGTAGCTCGCTCAGGCGTAGGATTAAATTATTTCAGGAAATAACAAACGACTTAACTCGTGTTTGCCAGGGTTAGGAGGTTTAGCCTGCTTGTGTTTCAGTAAGGGTGGTTTATAAGGGTGGGGGGTTAGATAGGTTAGGGGTAGGTGGATAAGAGGTATGTTATGCAGCTGGGATAACTCGCTTATAGTGTAAAATTCAATTATTTCAAGAAATAACAAACGACTAAAGTTGCTTTTCACAGGATTAGGTGGGTTAGCCTGCATGTAGTTCGGTTAGGATGGTTTATGGGGGTTTGGTGGGTTAGAGGTAGGTTGGTTAGTTGAGGTAGCTCGCTCATGCATAGGATTAAATTATTTCAATAAATAACAAACGACTAAGCTTGTTTATCTCAGGGTTAGGTGGATTAACCTGCTGATAGTTTGACGGGGGTGGTTTCTAGGGGGTGAAACACCCCTTAAATATGATTTTTTTTAAATCCGGAAACACGACAATTTAATTTTGGTATTTTCTCATTATCAGTGCGATTTTTAAATCACCCGAGCTGATTTACTATATTACATGTCGTAAAACAGTACAAAAAATAGTTTATTTATCCCTATTAAAAAGGGGGTTGCAACCCTTCGGTATAAATGTTATGTCCTTAAAAGCGCCTTTTTATAAGAAATTTTTTAACGTTGAGTTTACTGAAAAATATTCATTTGATGCTGAGAAATATTAAAAAACTGATTTTAGGGGTTGATTTTCAGGGTGGATTTCACCCCTTAAAAGCCCTTATAAGCCGATAAAAAAAAACACGTATCTAATTTTTTTTCAAGTACTACAACATATCCCAAAATCATTCAAATCGGTGAGGTCGGGTTGGGGTGGTTCCCTTGTTAGTTTGATCTGAAGTACTGTACCTGCTATAATTTGGGAAATATGCACGCGGTTTTAATTAGTTTCTCGATTAATTAATTTTAATGAAGTTCAATTAGTTTATCGATCATCTTAAAACAAGTAATTTAACAAAGTGCCTTATTTTAGGAAAAAGCGAATGACTAGCACACTATCTCCTGGATGCTTTGAGAACTATCAATTTCTGCGCACGCGTATTATCAATTTATAGGCACCGATATTATTTGAAATAATTAGACAATTTTTTAAGCAATTTTTTTACATTTTCTCCAATAAGTTTTAAACATATAAAATAAGAAAATTACGAGCATTTGAATGATATATTTAAAGTTCTAAGTGAATGTTACGTATCGGAGATAAAAAATTTTTAAATTGAAATTTGCAACCACGTTGTTATTTAATATTTCCGCGAAAGGTAAACGAAAGAATTCTAGGGTAAGATCTTCAAAATGAGCATTAAAAGTTCCTTCAGTTTCTATATATTTTATGTTTTTGCCAAATTTTTAAGTATTAGATTAACGAAGCCATAGGTCAGACTATCAGAACCAATATTGGTTAGAACCAAACCTTTATATTACAATCTGCATGTTTTCTTTCCTCTGTTCACACCGCCGAAACGAAAATGGTGAGTCTTCTGATTGAACAATTTTTTTATAACAAATCCATAATTATCATAATAATCCCTTTTCGATTCATATGAATTTTTATTTTATACACGATATTATTAATTATTTAGTAAAAATGACAAGTTATTGGTCAATAGAAATCAAGACATGATTTAATAATACTGTTTCGGGTTAAAAATACTATCAATTCTACAGTAATATATATTCTTTACTGATACTGTTAAACTATTCAGGTCGTTTTTAATCTTTGAAATGTTTAACTTTGTATAGGGTCGAGTCAGAACAAAAACAGTTAAAAAGGCTGCCAGAGTTATCATAGAAAAGTATTACATGAGATTGACGTTGGATTTTCATACAAACAAAAGATTATGTGAAGAAATTGCTATAATTCCAAGCAAACCATTAAAGAATAAAATTGCTGGGTATGTAGTCAACTAATTAATTACTAACTTTATGAATAGAATGTCAATTTCAATAATTTTAAGGAAAGACAAATAATACGTTGTACATGTTACTTTGATTATCTTGCCGAATTTACAAAATGACTATTTACATGAAAAATATATTCTAAATTGAGTTGTACTATCTTCATATTAGAACTATGTGGGAAATGTTTAACATTGAAGGCTCTGCTTTATGAATAAGTCATCCCATTATACTTTTTTTTTAGAATAAATTGTAATACGAAATATTTATGAATTTATTTTAAATCACCGAAGTGTGATAAATTAAGTAAGCTTAATAAGTATATGTGAAAATTATCTATTTTTATGTGTCAAGTTTATAAATATAAGACTATTATACAACAGTTATATATATATATAAGTATTTCTTAATGTAATTACTAAATATGTTAAAGAAGTTTTGAGTATAGTAATATAGTAAAGTAGTTTTGAGACTCTTACATTATTATAAATTAATGATACATTAATCTAACAATAAATCTCTTTTTCTCTTGATTAATATTGGACATAACACATGCGAACTTAAAATAATTCGTGATCAAATAAAAAAATATATCATATTTATTTATTCAATTAAACCAATATATATGCAATTCAATCACATTAGAAATAGCTGTAAGCCTACTTAGAATCATATAGCTTTTGAGTAGTATTGGATACAAAAAATGATATAAACTAGTAAGGGAACATTCCCAACCATCCTCCTCCAATTTTACTGTAATTTTGATATGTTCCAGTTAATTGAGAAATAAAATGTGTTTTTTTTATCGATGAAAAAAGCTTTCTAAGGGATGAAAGCTACCCTTGAAAATCATCCCTCAGAGCAGTTCTTTATCAATATTTTTGGTTTCAATTAATATTTTTCAATAATACAAAGTAGAAGGTAGTTGCTTTTCATAAGTTAATTTTTTCCATTTTGTTTCATTGAAAAATATTAATTGAAACCAAAATATTGATAGAAAACTGCTCTAAGAGGTGATTTTCAATAGTGTCTTTCACCCCTTAGATGGCTTTTTTCACCAATAAAAAAAAGTATCTTTTATTTTTCAGTAAGCTGTAACATATCCAAATTCAATTCAAATAATTTAAATTGATCACAAAAAATTATACTAGATATATTGCTTTAAATATGTTTCAGTCTATTTGTTGAATTTTCTTTTAATATGTTCTTTTCTTCTGCTTAATATTCTCACTACATTGGCAATAACTTCAAATTATTAATTACAACAATGGTATTAGTTCTTTATATTATGCTTGAATAAACTCTTTGAAACTATGTTATCTGTACATTTTTTATTCAAGTTTTATTACTGATTTATAAATTGTTCTGTATGGTTCTATATGTTCTATATGGATATTATAAGTTCACTATGGTTATAACATAGTTGAATTAGTACAAATCATTGATCTACTCTTAATGAGTAATTGGTTTAAATCATTCTTTTTTTATTTATAATTTGTAATAATTTATTTTGTTCATTTTAACAATCCAATAACCTATAGTTCATAATTTGTTGGAAGTATGCAATGAATGTATAAATTATTACTTAGGACATGTATCTTTATAAATTTATATGTATCTCCTGATTTGCAGTTTCAACAATCGTCAAACCTCACAGTCACCCCACAGTTTTTTACATAGTATGCTATTAGGAAAATATCATGTTTTTTCTATAATAATTTGTTATTGTTTAAAAATTTATAGGATAAATATTGTACAATAACCTATAGTTCATTATTTCTTGAAAGTATGTTAGTATGTATAAGTTGTTAACTAGGAGGTGATTCTTTATAAAGTATACATATGTCCTGATTTATGCAATTTAGTTTATTTTTATTTATTGTATGCAATTGATTTATTGCAATTTAATACAATCACCAACCCTTACCATCACCTTTACAGCTTTTTATACAGTATACTATTGGGAAAATTTCATGTTTTTTCCTTTGTGATTTGTTATTAAGTAATAATTTAATTAAGTAGATATTTCTTCATAAAGTATATGTAGGTGCTAACAAGTGAAAGAAGTATTTATGATCCTTACCTTTGTGTCAGTACCCAACAATAGATGGTTATAGGAAAGATTCAGCCATTTATTTACAATTAATTATAAATAAAGTAAAAAGTTCAGTTACTAACTTAACTGTATTTTCTTATCAAATATATTGATACAGCAAATCTACAGTCCTACAATTCACCTTTTTTATAATCAGCCATATGCAATACAATCCTGAAAATAGAATATTTCTTGTCAAATTTTTATTATGCAAGAGTTACACAGCAAGGTTAATTTTGTATGCAAAATAATACATCAAGGTTTTGTTCTCTAAATTTCTGAGGACTCGAGACCTATGTATTAATGTATATAAATTTATTGCGATCTGACTGCATTTTTACAAATTTTATAATGTAATCTTGTCCCAAATTTCCTTCTCGAAATATTAATTATATCAAAACTTTAAAAAAAATGGTAAAATTTTTTTCAAAAAGTTATATTTGAATACTAAGAAATGTATCATAGTTCAACTTGTTTAAAAATATGTATAACATCTCCAACTTTTATAATAATTACAAGAATAAATATTAATTTTTTTCAAAAGTTATTAACTTTTATTTTAAACAATTGTAAAGAACTCAAGAGTAATCTGTATCTTTTTTTATTTTTGCTTCAATGGATTTTTGAGGATATTTTTTATAGAAATCAGTCATAAAATTCAAGTACTCAATATATCGGAAGACATACCTTTAGAAGACACATATAGTTGTGACGTGCAATAAAATACTCAGGCTTTTTTTCCTAAAAACTTAATAGAAATAGGAATTTGCAATCATTTTTGATATTTTGTTTAATACATGGTAAAAGTTGTACTTTCCAGCATTGAAATAATATCGATCAAAGTATTACATCTATTATGAACCCAACCCATTCTATCCAAACTAAATCTAGCCAACATAGCCCCAAACTAACTATTGCATCCATGGCGTAGGTACAAAAAAAATTATCCGTGATTTTTCTTTTAGCGATCCCAATTGTTAATCAAAAATTATTTAAACAAATTACCAATTTTTTTATTTCGAAAAACTAATAGCGGCAATCGATTCTACCGGAAAAATTACGAAAGAAACCTCTATAACACTTTTTTCTCGGAACTCAATTTGTTGTTGTAAAATCATGATAAGCAATTTCAACCTGAACGAGTGATGCCAAACCCATTATATTTAATTTGTTTAAATAATTTTTGATAAACAATTGGAATCGCTAAAAGAAAAAACACGGGTAACTTTTTTACCTACGTCATGGATGCAATAATTAGTTTGGGGCTATCTCGGCTAGGTTCGGCTTGGGTGTTAATGGGTTAATCAAAGACAGTAAATCTATAATTGTGGCAAACCAAAACAACTACCAAGGATCACGCACGTTTCTTATGGAAAATGGGTTCCAGCAAATTTTATTGATACTTCACCAAATGATAGTTCTCAACAGACTGATCAAAAGTCTCAATGGGCACGAAGATCTAAAACCACCCCTAACCATGAAGGATGGTTTTGGGGGATGGGGGTGGGTTTAGAGGAACATGTGACAGATTATATTGATGCGATGCTTAGCCGAAATATTTTATTAGTGTAATGGGATCTATAACTACCTAAACCATTATTTGCTCTAGGTTTACATCCTCTACCACTTCTCACTCTCCCCCTTCCACCCTCACCCACCTACAAACGCGAGCCATGTAGTTTATTAGTTCTCACTAGTTGTAGCCTAGCTTGTTCTGCAGTTCAGCCTATAGTCACTTGGTCCATTATCTTCAAACCCCGATAATTATATCCCTCTTTCCTACCTTACAACATTACCTTCTACTAATGGCCGCGCAGTACAGAATTTGTCATTTAACGGATTATCTATTATTCGAACTATCAGTATGGCTCCTTTACTTAGCTAGGACTAGTACTCCTTTAGCCTTAGAACCTTATAAAATACAATAAAGCCTTAAGTCTGTGACAAAACTCTCTCCTTGTCACCAATTCTTTTGCGGGGTAAGTGAGGCACTTTCGCTCACGGCAATTGAGGGAGAAAAGAGAGAGGAGGTCAATAAATAAAATATGTAAAGACAGAAATCAAATCACACTTACAACTTATTATTATTAATACCTATTTACATAAACATATGCGCGCATAACATAATCTAAATTATTGACCAACTAACTACAAAATAGAACAGTAAACTACTTAAGATAATCACAAATGAATATTTCGCATTTCATCCTAACTAATACCTAATCGCGCACTTAACCTATTACAAATTTACTTAAAAATTACGCAAACCTATACCGGATGAATTGCCCGGCACGTGGGCGCCTGGACAATTCGCCGGTCGCAATTTACACTACTACGAATTAAACTTAAGCGCGAACCTTTAGATAGCCGGCACGTGAATGCCTGGCTATCTTATTCAACGCGCACCGGTCGTCGCATCACCAGAGAGAGAGAGAGAGTGTAGAGAGAAAGAAGAAAAGAAGGTTTGACCTTTTTTTTTTTGTTAATGTTCCTCGCAACGTAGAGAACCTCTAACGAAGCACTGCTGCAGGGAGTGTCGGTTGTCGCTGCTGGTCAGACTGCTACCGAACGATGCTGGCTGTAGTTGTTGGCCAAGATCTGCAGGACACATCGGTTGAGGTTGTAGACCCAAAATCTGCAAATGACGTCGGTTCTCCTTGCAAGCGGGACTGGCCGTAATCGAGGATAAAGCTGTTGCTGGTAGAGCTGGCCTTCCTTCCAACTATCCCAAAACCTGCACTCTCTGCACTCTAACTAGACTGGACTCGCGCACGCATTTTTTTTCTCTCGCTCGTTTCGCGGCCGCTCAGGCGCTCGTTTTTATCCCTTCCTGACGTATTAATTAGGCGGCACGCGACGCGCCGCTTATCAGTCACGCGTCGCGCGCCTGCCTATCCCTGCATAGGCCTAATGCTCTCTCTCTCTCTCTCTTTCTCTCTCTCTCTCTCTCTCTCTCTCTTTCTCTCTCTCTCTCTCTCTCTCTCTCTCTCTCTCTCTCTCTCTCTCTCTCTCTTTCTCTCTCTCTTTCTCTCTCTCTCTCTCTCTCACCCTCTCTCTCCGCGCTCTTCAACTTTTCTGCACTCAATTGCGCTGGCCCGTCCTTGGCGTTAAAACAAAAAGGCCAAGTGTTAGGCGCATACTCTAATGCGCCCAACGTTGGTCACCACGCCTTGCCGAGTGGAGAAGGAGGGAGAAAAGCAGACGAGAAACCGGCACACGGCCAGCTCTCGTCACAAGCCTGTAAAATACAATACCGTACAAAGCCTATCAAAATGGTTTAGCATATCTCATGGCTTGTGCAAACTCACTGCACTATCTGCCTGACAAAAGCTAAGATATTCGTTAATAATGTTGTAAATACATGCTGATTTTACGTAGACATATATATTTGTATATTTTGTGACGGAGAATCTCGGCTAGGCCGATCTCGTCCGTTTAGCTCTCGCAAATGTCCGTGCGCCGCGCCAGGCTGAGAGTGTGTACGTTTGGCACACACACTCATGCTTGGACCTTTTGTTTGCGAGGTGCTGAACACGGGCTGAGCTGACGACTGGAGCGATAGAGATGGCGCAGAAGAAGAGGAAAAGAGAGAAAGAGAGAGAGAGAGAGGGAGCGCTCGAATTGCGGATCGCCGCGGAAAATTCGGGGAGTCTCTGCTAGGCTTTGAGCAGAGAAAGTCGTGCGCGCGGATTAACCGAAAGGTCGCGGTTTTTCCAAGTTGGCCCCGCGACCTCGTCGACGTCTCGTTCGCTTTCGGGGACATGCCCGGTGCGCGGACGAGCATTTTTACGTGTGAGGCTGGGTCGCGCCCAGCCGTGTTTTGAAGGATACCCGGCACCGGTGCGAGTGGGTAATCGGCGAGGCGCGTGGGTGCACGCGCGAGCAATTTGGACGTACTACAGCACCGAGCAACAGGGAGGAGGCGGAGACAACAACAGCAGTAATCAACGAGCGAGTTCCGGATTGAGAGAGCAGCATCGTAGAGCAAGCGAGAGAACGAGCGAGGAGATAAATAGCGACAACAACAAACATCAGCGAGACGGTCAGCGAGGAGCGCACCAGTGACGTCACGCGGTGGAGCGTTCTAGCCGTCAGAAAGGCTGAAGGTCGAGGTCGGTGCCGTGTTTTCCTCTTATCTCTCTCTCTCTCTTGCATGTTTGGGCGCCAGCTTATAGGTGGTAGCACGGGAGACCTGCTGGCTATCCCGTTGGTAGTTTAACAGCGGAAAGTATTTTGTCGGGCATTATTGTAGCGATTTAATTTATAAAGAGAATCGGCAGGCTGATCAGCCACCGATTCACCTTTCGCGTTCGGATTCATTGTTGTGCCGCTCGTAGTGTATAAGCGCGAGATCGCTGTCTTGTAACTCATTGTTGACGATTAAAGGATTAGTGTTAATCCGCTGTTGTGTTTATTCGCCGCTGTATCACTCCTCATCCCGACTTCGAATCTGTGCGTTTAACGTATTTATGCTCGACGCGTTATTCAGTCGTGGGAACGTCTTTTGCTTCCCGAATCCCCGAAAAAATAATTTGTGCGGACGGTCGCGAGCAGCCCAGACGGGTACGGCCGGAATTCTCCGTTACAATTTCTTATATTGTAACTGCATTAACTCAAAAAAAACGTCTTTAAATCAGAAGCACCAGCACTCTCGTTCTTAGCATTACTTAGATACGTGGACGGGGCGAGTTTTCAATCTTTCGGGGTGCTTGTTTTATAAGTTCCCGTGTTTCTCACATATGCTGTTATGGATGTGTGCCCGCGCAAATACATGTCACTAATCATTTCTTACATTTTCTATGTATTCAATTAGGAAAGTTTTGGGTAGGTTCTATTCTATAGGTGATTAGCATATCCAAGGAACCATACTACAGCTGCTCCACGAGCACAACATTCTAATGTCCGTGCTCCAACTTTACATATGCAATAATAATGTTAGATTAGTTCTTCATGTACATCGATTTGAATGATTTCTTCATATAGTGGGTATGATACGAGGGTGGATTGATAAGTTTCCGGCCTGACCAAGAGATGCCGCCAGTCGGCCTACCGTCAGGTGGCATTCTGTAGTACCATCCTTAGATAGCTTGTAGCTATAGTTTCTCCCCGATCGCCATGTTAGTTTAGGTTTGAGAGCACACTGAACAAGACGCCTCTGTGTTTTTCTTAAAAATGGAAAAGCTGGAAAATCGTGCTGTCATCAAATACTTCTATTTGAAGGGTTTAAAGCCGAAGGAAATCAAAGAAGAGATGGAATCAACACTGGGGACATCCTCCCCATCATATTCAACCATTAAGCAGTGGGTATCCAAGTTTAAAAAGGGTCGTGTGAGCACCTCTGATGAGCCTCGCTCAGGACGCCCTGTTGAGGTCACAACTCCAGATATGATCGAAAAAATCCATCAAATAGTGCTGGAAGACCGCATATTAAAAGTGCGTGAGATAGCTGAGACCTGTAAGATGTCATATCAACGTGTGCAAAATATTTTGCACCAACATTTGCACATGGAAAAGCTCTGTGCCAGATGAGTGCCGCGTTTGCTAACAGTCGACCAAAAATTGATTCGAAAAAACATTTCTACCGCTAATTTGGCGTTGTATAAGCGTAATCCAAGCGAATTTTTGCGTCGATTCGTAACCGTTGACGAAACTTGGGTCCACCACTATACTCCTGAAACCAAAGAACAGTCTAAACAGCGGATTGGACCAGGGAAACCAACTCCAAAGAAGGCAAAAACAATTTTTTCGGCGAACAAGGTTATGGCTACTGTTTTTGGGGATGCAGGAGGTATTATATACATTGATTATCTTGAAAAGGGTAAAACTATCACTGATCAATACTACGCAGACTTATTGCAACGTTTGAGCCACGAGATGAAAATTAAACGATCTCATCTGGCGAAGAAAAGAATCTTGTTTCATCACGATAACGCACCAGCGCACAAGTCAATCGTTGCGATGGCTAAAATCAACGATCTGAAGTTTGAATTGTTGCCGCACCCTCCCTACTCTCCAGACCTAGCCCCGAGTGACTATTATCTGATTCCTAACCTCAAAAAATGGCTTGGCGGTAAGAGATTTGCGGACAATAAAGAAGTAATCGAAGCTGTAAATGGGTATTTTGAGGAGCTTGACGAATCAGTCTATAGAGATGGCATTACTAGACTAGTACACCGCTATGAGAAATGTATCAGCCTTGAAGGAGATTATGTTGAGAAATAAAAAAAAAATTCTTAAAAACGTTGTTTTTTTTGGTCAGGCCGGAAACTTATCAATCCACCCTCGTATACACATTGGTGTTTGGTACTTCTCGAAAATCGTCAGTAGAGCCTTACTCTAATAATTTCTGGTTCTGTGATTCGGTGATCAAATTGAAAACAGTCTTTGTCATCCCTTGCAATCTTGTCTTGAATTAATGCTAGAGCTAACCCAAGTTGGTAAATTCCAACAGTAAGGTTTTCTAGGTAACCTATATCAAAATAAGGAAAATTAGGAAATGTATTTTCGTCTTAAAGTCCCCATCCAGAAATTCTTGACAGCAATGTATTGTCTACTTGAACTCTAGCTTACGTTATATTCATTTCTAAGGTTAAAATAAGCAAGTTTTGGGCATATTGCACATTAATACCATACATATAAATCAATCCTTTTTACCTGTTAATAAATGCTACAGAAACCTTTCAAAATTATCTCAAGTTTTTGGCATGATCATGTGTGATAGATAAAAAACTTGAATATATCTTTTACATGTTCATTTCGTGGTTATTAACGAATATTTCATGGTTAATTGCTTGTAAACTAACGTTTTCAAAAACAAACCGTTATATTGAAGATGTATGTACAAAAGATATAATCAAACTTACAGCCTGCCTACTGCTATATCTAAATATACTAGCAAGAAAGTCGTCAGTTGTTCCTTATCGCAATTTACGAAGAAAAAATTAATAAATCACGTTTAGAAATATGTCTGAAAGAGAATCCCGTCATATATTGGATTACAATAAATATAGAGCTCTCTAAATTGTTAAAGATATTAAAATCTTTTTCAGGGATATTATTTTCGTTATCGAACTTTGTATTAAATTGTTTATTTGAAACTGATCGAAGTTTCGTAAGAAATAAATTTAGTTGATTTCCGTTAAAGCGATAAGGTCTGTAAACGGAATTTAGTCTGTCATAAAAATTGTCGAGTAAACAATCCGATTCATCTAAATGTATTACACAGGCTCTTGTATTTTCAGAAGCATGGATATTTCTTTTCAAATAAATGTTCACCCGACTTTCAATTTTCAATCTTGTTATATTTCCATTATTACCGCAAATGAAACAAGTATACAATGAAGACTGACGTAGTACATTTAGCTTTAATGCTATAGGATCTTCTTGAAGTGCCGTAATTTCATTTACAATTGATAAATTGTAATTGTTGCACAATCAAGTATTTGTATTAAAGACTAGACGACCTCTATTATCAGCATTTCGTCTTGATATATTCTATTCTTGATATACCTATAAAATATGCACGATTGTAACAATACGAACTTTAATTAGCTGTACGCTTCGGGAATTATATAACAGTCTCTAATTGCTGAGGAGACATTGGCTCAATTTCAACATTCAAAACAATACTGTTAATGTCGCTGTACGTGATTATTGTTAAAGCACCTGTAATAATATAAAAATGCATGTATAATTTAATGTAATCTTCATTACATTTTGTAAGCATTTAGTGCTACATAAAAAAGTTTTACCATTGACACATAACTCCCCAGTAATTGTAACATTAGCCCCAAGAACGTAGGTTGGTGGAACTTCTGTAAAGTTTGTTATATTTATATTTATTTTAGTTTTAGCATCACATACTGATCCACTTCCATAGCTCATATTATTCCAGTGACTTCGTATGACCCGGAAAGTTTGCTTGATAAATCCAGTAATAACTGAAAGAAATTAATGAGTTTATACAACATACTTTTTAATTATATATTTTAAGTTATACAGTAGTAAAAATGAAATGCTTACCAACAGTACCAATCTGGTAATCTTTAATGTTATCAAACGTAATTTGTATTGGATTTTTGTCATTTCGTCCATCGAAAAGTCTATGCGCATACCTAGATGTTCGACACCAAAACTTCGCAAAATGGACGAAACCCATAAGGAACGCAACCCTCGTTCACTCTGAAATAAGTAGGCTGAACTGATCTAGCTTGGCATCCAGTTATGTATAACACCTGCAATGGCTCGGTCGGTAGGGCGACGGACTCGCACCCGGTAGGCCCGGGTTCGATTCCCAGTTCCTGCTGATACAAGCACCTCTGAAAAAAGTTTCATGTGCTTTGTTCTCAAACACATTGCAAGCCTCCGTCGCTAATTAGCACTGATGGAGCATAAATAGAGCGACGTTAAAATAAAAAAAAAAAAAAAAAAAAAATTATGTATAACACCTGTTCAAGTAAAGAATATGTACATTATACATGTATGAATACTATGAAAACTATATGATAATCATCATAAAAATATAAATCCATTGTTACAAGAATTGTAATTAAAATGTATGATACTACAGCAAGAAGTTTTTAAAACATTCAAATAAAAAAAATTAATCACGTAATTTATACATACTTTACCATTTACCAACTTGGACTTCTGGAGAATAAATTGAGACCAATGGCTCATTCCAAATACATACTGCAACTTTCTTGATACCATTGATCAACACAAATTTAAAAAGTTTCAACTTTTTCTGTGATCCTACTCCCTTGGGAGAGTTTAGCTGATCAACGTAGGCCGTTATTTCACTATAAAAAAACCAAACAAAATTATAACTTACAATAAAAGAAATAGGTAAGATAAAATATAAAAAGAAAGAATAATAATATTCTTACACAGTACTATCTTTGTCTACAAAATGATCAAAGACTGCATTATTTGATAATCTATATGTTACATCTTGTTCCATGGGTAATGGCAATGGCCCTTGAACTTGATTTTGCTCACCTTGAACTTGCTCAGCAGCGACATCAGGTGGATTTTGTGCTACTTCTTTTTTTTTTTTTTTTTTTTTATTTAGGCAATTTCAATCCTATTTAAGGATTATTTTGCTATGTGCTACTTCTTGATTCTATCCATTATTTAGTCGATTTTGCGCTTCTGCCGTCTAAAATTAGTTAGTTTGAGTGAAGAAAATAAAGAAGTATATATATTTTTATTGCAAATGTAGCAATAAAAACAGTAGAATAATCTTTATAAAAGCCGTCGACTAAGGCCTAATTTCATTTGAATTTTATTGAATTATCGTTTCTTTCTGCATAATCGAACTCTTGACAGGGCTATGGCTTGCTCGATCTAAATACGTGCAACATACGATGATAGCCACCTCGTAAGAGCCGCGCACTGTCTATTCAGCGTGTTGCAACATCTCTATGACCACGCGCAAAGCCAGACAGCGCAGACCACCTGCAGCAGCAGCAGCCGAGTAGAGAGTTGCGAACAATAGACGCGCGCGCGCGCAAACAGGCAGACGCACATGTGTAAAATTGGACCCGTTTACTCGCACAATTGGCACGTCAAAGACTCGAGGATCGTGCGAACGTTTTACCGGAATGTAATTAATTCTCGCTGATAGCGAGCGTTTCTTGTTAGGCATTCGTCGAACGCAAGTGTTCTTTTTTTTTCCTTTTGAAATGAGTGACGCAATAAAATTCAAATCAAATTAGGCCTTAGTCGACGGCCTAATTTCATTAAAATTTATAATGTTTCAAAAAAAACATGTGATTTTGATGAATATGCTAAAAAGAGAATTATCAATATATTATATTTATATTTATATTTATATTATATACATATATATATTAAGTTTATATTTATGTATTATATACATATAAATCATATATATATATATATATATAATTCCCTTGCAAAATTATAATAAAAATCACTAATGATTGATTTAAAATACCACGCATTTTTGCAAATGTAACTACATATTTCAAATCGGTTAAAATTCTCTATTAACCTAATTAACCTAATCTTAAGCAATATACAGAATTATATTCTAGGAAACTTCAATGAATAAAAATATATAACCTATAAACAATTAGATTACATTACTGTTTAATATAATTACTAAAATATACGATGTATTAACAAAGGGATGTCGGCGGATCATGCTTCGTAGTCAGGAGGAAAATAACAAAATGGCGGACAAAAAACGAAAAATTGCTTAAAAATCGATTTCTTTTTCACTATTTTTCCAAAAAAAATAGTTAAAATTAAAATATTTTTGCAGATTTTGGAGCCTTAAGTTGAAGCATTTTATGTAAAGAATGTATGATTTAAATTTCATAAGAATTACTTCATTAGTTTCGGAGATACGATGGAGTTAGATTTGAAAAACGATGTTTTGAGAAAAACGTGTTTAAAGTTGTAACGGGGGTTCTGACTTCCCCGTGATGGGTGAAGCTAAATAGCTACTCGGCTCGTTGCAGGCTTGGTATGGGGTTACGCGGAACCCAGTCCAGTGGCTCAGCTATGCCACTTGAAGGCGTCCTTGCCTTCGGCCCGCGGAGTGCGTCGCAGGTCAGGTAATTGCTGGCGGTGCGAGTCAGCACGTGTATAGCGCGGGAGGGGAGAGCGCCGAAAGGAAAGACACAGTGGTTAAAAGAAATAGCATTTACTAAAATGAAGGAAATAAGGAAGCGTACACATGATATGCGCCGTGAGAGAGACAAGCAGGAAGCGAGCGAGAGAGAGATGGACAATCGAGCAAGTACTTACACGTCGGCTTCGCAGTAGCCTAGAGCTCGCTTCCGAAACACACGAATATTCGGCCTCGGGGCAGCCTTCTTGACACGATAAGCAGCTTGTCAGCACGCACGCACAGCACACAGTCCGCAGGATGCACTTCGGTGCCATGGTCTTCCACGCGATCACGCACACTCTGCACTTTCGGTACCTAATCGACAAAAACGCAGGCTACGTAGCACAAAGGCCTCTACCGATCGCGCGTTGACGGCTACGCTTGCGTTCCTCGTAGAAGCGGGTAGCTAATTGTTCTTTGCACGCGGAAGAGGTCCCCCCTCTCTCCTTGGCTATTCGGCAGCGGCGCGCCTCAGCCAATTAGGCAACGCGCGAAACACTCATGCGTCCACGCACTCTCGCATACACGCGGTTCTCTCTCTCTCTCTCTGCTCGGCGCTCTCTCACTTACCTCGTGCAGCGTCAGCAGCTGCGGCTAGGTAGGGAAGGATACATAAGAGAGTTATTAATAAATTACAATTGACTTAAGGGAAGAGAGAGAGACATAACGAGACTCAACTCGTTATAAAGTTTTATTTAGTAAAAAAAGCATGAAAATTCTTACCTAAAGATTCTGCTCCAACCTCGTTCGCGTATTGATTGCCGGTAAAATTTCGCTTTTTATTTCTTCCTGGATGGTTTTTAGTTTTTTTCGCCATAATCTACGCCACCGATGTTAGTCCTACGCAGTTGAAACGAAAATTGATGCTTAACTAGCAGTAGAGCTCCTTCAAAGTTCGTTTTGCTTCAAAAATTTACTTATAACCATCATTTAATTTCAAGAAACAATAAATATATCTGATAATACAAAGAATTATACTATTTATAATATAAAATAGCTGATTGAATACAAAGGCAAGGGATTGAACAAGAGATGCTCTCTAAAAATTACTTACAACCATCATTTCATTTTAAGAAACAATAAATATACCTGGCAATACAAAGAATTATACTATTTATAATATAAAGCAGCTGATTGAATACAAAGACAAGTGATTAAATGAGAGATGGGTCAGCCGAGCGTGCTAGCCTACTCCTAGCTCGGCTAGCACGCTAAGCGTAGAAGTAGGCTTAGGTAGCGACGTTTAGATAAAGAAACAATACACTTAAACAGCTCTGATCATCATAAAATTTTAATACAATACTTTTGAATATATATACATTTTAAAAATGCAACAACAAAAAAATCGATTTTTTAATATTCGTCAGGTGGAATGATCCCTTAACTAACCTAACTACAACCGAGGATACAGATATTATTCACCCTTGAAAGCAACTAAAAAAATAAATCAACTACAAAATTTTTGTCCACTTATCTTAAAAAATGATATGACTTGGACTAAAACAGATATTGATAAAGCTAATACATATGCTAAACATTTACAAAATGTGTTCAGTCCACTACAGCGTAAAGTAAAAAAAAAAGTATAAAATCTACTAAACAGCGCGTAAAGTAATATAGATAATAACGAATCATTTAACAATATAAAAGTAAAAGATTTAACCAACATAATTAATCATTTGAAAAATAAGAGCTTTGGACACGATAATTTAAACGAATAGTTACTATCAGAATTATCCATAAAAGCGATAAGACATATAACTATCGTGATAAATTCAATATTTCGTTTACACTATTTTCCTGCGATATGGAAAACAGCAACAATAATACTCATGCCAAATTCGGGTAAACCACTCCAGCATGCTACATCTAACAGACCAATTAATCTACGGTTCACTATCTAAACTTGAACAAAAAAAGCCTCTTTCTTCAAGACAATGCTCGAGTTCACACGTGTGCAGTTTCAATGGCAAAAATTAACAATTTGAAGTTCGAATTAATTGACCATCCACCATATTTGCCTGATTTGGCTTCCAGTGACTTTTTCTTATTTCCTAACCTCAAAAAATGGCTTGCTGGACAACGATTCACGTCGAATGAAGAAGTCATCGCCGAAACAAATGCCTATTTTGAGAGTTTTTAGAAATCATACATTTCTGATGGCTTAAAAAAACTGGAAGGCCATTTAATAAAATGTATCGACCTTCAAGGAGATTATGTTAAAAAATAAAAAAAAATTACATACGCAAAACTTTTTTTCCTTCTTTTTGTAAAGATTTATTGACCCCCCTCGTATATAGGAAGATGAAAAAAAAATAAACGAAATGGAGAATATTAGGCTAAGAGAAAAGCAAGGAGAAGGAAGGATAAAAGGGCTGCATGTGAGAGAAAGATTTAGATTTGGAAACAAGACAAAAACAAGCAATACTGGAAAAAGAAGCAAAAAAAAATGTGCAAATTATGTTAAAAACAGAGAAAAATTGGGAAAATATTGTGGAAAAATGTGAAATAAGTGGAAGAAAAGATAAAAAATAGAAACAAACAATAATAGGGGGGGGGGGAGAAAAATCTAACATGGATACTAGAGGTAATCTGGAAAAGGAAGAGAAAGGAAAAAGAAAGAGAGGAAAGAGAAGAGTGGCAGGAGCCTAAGGAGAGAAGATTGGCAGGAGGTAGAGGACGAGAGACAAGAAGTGAAAAGAGGAAAAAGGTATGCAAGGCCTAAGATAAGAAGGAAGAGGATGGGATAGGAGAAGTGAAAATAAGCGATAGTTGATAATCAAAGTGAGAGCAGTGCAAAGATAAATAGACACGAGAAATGGAAGTGGAAAGATTGGAGAGGAAAGTTAAGAGAATGGAGAAAGGCTGGGAAAAGGAAATTGGGGAAGAAAAAGAGAAAAAAGAAAGGAACTAAAAACAAATATTGAAGAGCTAGAAGAGTGGAAAAAGAAGAAGGAAAAAAACTTGAAAAACCAGGAAATTAAATTAAGAATGTTAGAGATAAGGAAAAAGAAGAAAAGGTAGAAGAGGAAAGATAAGATAGCAAAAAGGAAAAAGCAGGAGGCGGTAAAAAAAAGAAAATAACGCATGGAAGAGGACTCAAGAGAAATAGGCAGCAGGGATTAGAGAGAGGTGGTGCTCTTCCTAACGAAAGGACCAAAATGGGAAGGAGAGGTCAGAGAATGGGCGAAGAGAGAGGTAAGAGCAAAGCTTAAGGAAGTTAAGCAGATAAAAGAAGATTTTTGATTTTTTTGTAGCGTTATGTTGGTACTCATATCCCTTACTTATGCTGACAAGGTCGGCCATTTTGAATGTGTATTTAATTTTTGTCAGCTGTTTTGCTTGGATGTGTTTTGGCTCGTCTTCGATTTTTGCCTATTTTAAAAAATCGATCAAAGAATCTGTATCAAATTTTGTGTGAAAAACAAAATAAAGTGCGCGGGCGCATTCCGATGTTGACTGTGGCATATGGTGAAGCTACCTTCGACCAAAGAAACGTTTATCGGTGGTACAAAATGTTCTCAGAGGGCCAAGAAAATTTGAACGACGAACTATGTGCCGAACGCTCGAGCACGTCAATAACAGACGAAAATATTGATAAAGTGAAGAAAATAGTATTGGCCAATCGTCGAATCACCGTTAGACAAGTTTCTGGGGATCTAAACATATCGATTGGCTCGTGCC